GCACACATGTACACAATATACATGTCAGAAATGTACTTCTAGTTATAACAGCATCTAGTTATAACAACTTGATATGCTGATGATTACATGTGTGTTGATTCACAATTTAGATTAATAGCATTTCGTATACTGTATTTTCACAATCATTTCTTTTACCAATCCTGCTCTCTTGTATAACTCAGCCTCTTTACAAGCCTTGTCAATCAGCTGACCAACTGTTGCACTGCTCCTTGGTGTCCCTGAGTGTGGAGGAAATATAGAAAATAAGAAAGTAAGAATCAACATCAGTTTGGGTTGATTACTGGTACTGCAAGTTCCTATCTCCAAACTAGTCTAGTAAAAACGTTTAACTGACATATCCTACACTTGCCACAACCAAATTATGTTAAAAACCCTTGTCACAACTGACCCCCTTACTAGTACCTGGTAGTGCCCCGACGTGGACCATGCCGATCGCGGCCGCCTGCAGCCGCCCAAACACCTTCTGGAATCGCTGCATCTCCCCTGTACCATGGCCACCCAGGTCTAGATGATGACAAAAACACACCCGGCCTGGCTCAGGTCGTTTTGTGCACAACTGGCACCGAGATGAGGGATTCACAAGCGTTTAAAAGTCCACAGACACACCCCCAACAGCTGCCATTTTTCTTCTCCCTCCAACTTTGCCCGTCATGTGACTGCGTCTTGACCAATGGACATTTGGATTTTCTTCGATGCCTCCCTCTCACATTCCCTCCTTCCCGCGGGTGGACTAGTACACTTTGAGTGACGGGAGGGTGTTCAAATATGGAAACAATAATTCAATAGTTATTGAGCAAATGAGAGCAAACAACTGCAATTTTTTTACATGATATTACATTTTATACATTGGAGTATTGAAATTTGTATGTTTATTAGTACGACGCTTCTCATGTATATTTTTATATTGAAAAATACAAGGCTGCCCCTCCCATTCGCTTCCATGTGAGAATTTCGCGCCATATTTTTAAAACATATATTGACGTCACGAAGTGGAGCAAATTGACATTGAGCGCCGCAAAACGCAAAAGTCCCCATTTCAATTTGAGCAAGTCTCAACGCAAATTACCAAATATCATGAATTTGTAACTTGTAGCATACTCTAAGTAACACTTTCCATTCATTCTTTTCTAAAAATACGAATTTTATTTTGGTTCTGGCTGCGCTAATGCTACTTTGCTCGTCTTCGCGTTTGGAAACTGCATCAGCAAGGAGGCAGGGCAGTGCCCTGTCAGTGTTGGCGGGACTTGGTGTCGACGAAGCTCTGGGACGGCTGTGTGGTTGGTACCTCTGCGAAAATTGGTGTGTATCTTTACTCCACATCGGTTATTTTGTTCCAGATTTTGCCATCAGCTAGCAAAGACTTCTATCTAAGCGATAATATCGAGATTTGGAAATTCTGATCGTCAGGAAACGATCGAAAATTCGATTTTCCAAGTGTAGTCGATCTCGCTCGACCGAGGGTAGCGACCTTTTGTGCTGTCTGCGTTCGGTAGGGATCGTCCCATTTGTCGGTAAAAAACAGGTTCAATTTGAGACCATCCGTCTCACAAAATCCTTACCAAATAATATACAATAATAGATTACATATACTTCTTCTCTACTAAGCATCCTTGCCATTTTTATGATTAACTTTGACGAAAACTGGACAGGGAAAAGATTTGGCGCGAACTATCACCGGGTCATCAAAGATGGCCGCTACCCAGATTTTCTGATTGTCGGTAGTTCGACATATTTTGTGGCATTTTTTGACCATTTTTATGTCTTACAGAATCTCCAGGCTTCAAAAAACGAGCTGTGGATGAAGGATTGTGATAGAATGTCAAGAAGAAGGTGAAGCAATCCTTACATCAGCGGTGTAATTTCAGCACTACTTTGACCCTAATGCAATTTGGATTTTGTTTCAAGTCTCAAGATGGATTCCAAAAATCATTGCAAATTATTTCTCTTCCAGTGTGAGGCAAAAGGCCAGAAAGCAGAATCTTGAAACGACTGAAGAACCAGCCTTCGTACTTTGCACAAGGAAGAGAAAGGCATCGCCGGTAAGAACTTGATGTGCCAAAATGTCGAGCCAAACGAAAGGATTTGCAACACTGCCATTCATTCATCTTCATTTCACTTCGGTCCCAAATGTTTTGTACTAAGCTAAATTCATTCGTCCCACAGGAAACCATGGGAAACCAAGACGTGGCCAAAAGAAGACAGCAATTCCAGATCCAGGTAAAAACGCCATATTCTACTGTTTAGAAAATTATAGCTTAATCGGGGTATTGTTTATTTCGCGCCATGTTTACGTTTGCCCCTCCGCTTCAGCAGCTACCTGGCCTTTCGCGCGCCCGCGAAAAAATTTTCCCGCGAAAAAACGCCCTGAATTTTTTATGATTTTGAGCAAAATTATCGAACGATTTTTGACTATAGATAGAATATACTGTCAACAACACATTTGTGTAGTTGTTATGTTGATTCAGTTGTGGAATTTTTAGTTTGAAGCCGAAATGTTGAGGGACCTTCGTGTCGCTGACCTGCCGAAGGCCCCTGTTCTACAGGGGTTGAAAGGGTGTCGGGTAGCCCGGAATAACCTGAACAAATAGGGTCACGATCTATAACGCCCCAATCCACCGATTCGAGTTTCAACATTGCTTTTCAATGACATGTGTCTAATACTCAACTTCTCCGAGATTTTCTGTTTTTAGTTAGCCACAGTCTTTAATAGTAGAACGATTCAGTGTCCTATCCTTGCTCAGTCAGAACAAGTGCAGTAAAGGTGACCCCACCTCCCATTGTAGGCGTGCAAGACGTAGCAGGTGAAGTGCTCCCCAAAACCCGGACACAAAGTCGAGAACTGCATCTTCTAATTAGCATCCGTCCTCAAAAATGTTACTTTCTTAAATACAAGATTTTATCTTCCCACTGGTTGTGTTGTGGGCAAGGTGCAGAGCTTGTAGTTGTCTTGTGTAAGTTTGTTCTCAAGTTACTTAGACCCAAGCTAGTCATATATCATGCTTTTCATGCTGTCACCCTTAGAAACACAATAAGAGGATATAAAATTGCTGTGTTAATAGCCTTATTGTACTTAGCAGACCACTGTAGGAAGTTTGACCCAGGTCTCTCTGGTCATCCTGTGGTCACCAACTCCTAAATCATGTAAATGATGCTGAATGAGAAAATTTATGATGTTGATGGCTGAGGGTGACCAGCCCTGTTGCCAGGGGAATTTTCTTTCACAGTACCTTCAGATGAAAGGGCACAGTACAAACTTTGGTGTTGTTATTCAATTTAGGTGTGAGGAAAAATGCTGTGCCCCATCAGCACATACAACACTGCCTGAAATGAGGTGATAAACTTCTGCAGTGTGCACTAATAGTAATAGAAGACCCAGATTAGCAGGCACTTGTGAAGTACCTGACTCACTTTGCATGGGAAGACCAGAAAATTTGGCATCATGCATGGAAGCAGCACTGCTAATGTTACATATCATATTACCAAATGGCCATTATTTTGGTCTCAGGAGCCTGAATTTTCCCTCACTGGACTTTGGTCCAATTTATCAAAAATTTCTTAAAGACTTGCTATGTCTTTAAACATCATTGTCTCTGGCCGCTGCTAAAAGATTTGTTATTTTGACAGGTCATGATAAGAAATCAGTACGCAATCAGACTCTGAATACTGCAGCAAGACAGCTGACACCTGAGTTTGCTGATGAGAAGACAAGTTACCCTTTGCTATGTAACCTTCTAATGCTTGAGTCAAGCCCTTGTCTTACATAGATATATGTATCAGCATATATAAAATGCTCCTTTTACACTGTGTAAGTCAGTAATCTATGCCGCTATTGCTCGTTGTATACCCTGTAACCTTTCGGTAAAGAAGCAAAGCTTCATTTTCTGTACCAAGTCTAAAGTTATTAAACAAAAAAATGTTGTGAAATAAGAAATTACCGGTATAAAATTGAAGGTAATTATCCTTAGGTACATATTTTGAGTGTATAGGGGGCTCTATTTGTGACAAGGGACATTCAGACAAGGATGTGCATCAAGGTCAGTTCAAGAAGACCATGCTAATCTTGTTAGGTGAATGTTTGCAACAAATTGCGCTGAGTTGTTGTAACCAATTGGTCCAGCAGTGTGGTCTGACCCTTGCCTTACTGCCACTGCTTCATCCTTTCAGAGGAGTCACTGTGTCCCAATTTTCCCTTTAGTTGGGCTTTGCTTTTGTTTGCCCCCTGTGCACGGCCAGTTTTTTGTAAGGCTAGCAGAAGCAATTGTTTACTCTGAGTTAAGATAGGGGGCAAACTGTGGGGGTACACTTTGCATGCAGGGGAACAATAGACCTCATGCGGTCCACATCCTGTCAAATTTGCACCTTTCCCATGCTGCACGCCTCCAAAATGAAACCGAGAACCCTGAAAATCAAGGACAAACTGCAAGACACCAGACTTTGCATTTCTCACCCGCTCAATCAAGGAATCATAGGACAGATGCCAGTCTATTCCCAACATGCCCAATGCTGGCAAGTGTATTGATTTAATGAAACCATACAATATAGCCTGCAAAGGTAGAAGACAAATTTCACTTCTATGTGAAGAAGACAGCTACACTTAAATTTATTATACCCTTGTTGCAACAAAAAAAATCACCCTAAATTGCCCCTAGATAATCAAAAGCATTGTAGGCTACGCAAAATAGGAGCCTTATAGATGCTCACATAACAAAGGAATGTTGTCTGTGAATACTTTTTATGTTGCCCTTGAAACTCCTGAGTTTGTAACACCTGTGTATTGTGCAGAATTTTTCACATGCTAACAATGGCCAGGTGATAATTACTGTATTTTTAGCGGACCATTTCTAGCCTGACAGACAACAGTACAGATGGAATTTTCCAGTCTCATTGCAATGTTTTGAAATGACTGGACTAAACATGTATTGTCTGTACTTTTGTCAAACTCAGTGTTACACAATTCATAGCTGATACATAACTACATTTTGTACTTCACAAGTTACTAGTACTTTGGTGTTTACTAGTAGTGAGTAAGTATATTAGATTGCACTTTGATTACTGGTGCCAAATTAGGAGGTAAGAAACCTCTAATGAGTTTATGAACCCACAGCAGTAATAAGTCCAAGACACAATCAACTTCAGTTGTCAATGTTTTACATGTAAGCATCTTGGTATTTTTGTTACAACACTTTTCTCACGAGGTGTTCTGTTTTGTTTTCCAGAATCGTTGGGTCCCCATCTCTCAGGGTTCACATGTAGGCAGTAGTTTCATTGTCGCCACAGACTCAGAAGAGTTGAGTGCAGACTTTGAAGTAGGTGAGTATCAAACGGTCCTCTCACTCAGGAAGGAACAGATCACGACCTGTAATATAATAACTGAGATGTCGTGTTAAAATCTCCACTAGTATCGGCCCGATTATGCACCTGAAGCAGCGATTGGAAACAGTGCCTAGCAACTTGAAAAGAGCCAAAATTCAGTGTATTTTCCTAGGAACATTATTTTTGTAAAGGTAATTAATATTTTTGCCATATACATGGTACCAAAGGTATTTCACTCTTTGGTATCCACTATTTTGTCATATCAAATTGATGAAAATTTCAAAGTCTGCCTAGCAACAGCCTTCAACTCTTCCCAGAAACCACCTGAAGCTGCTGAGATATTCATGAATTGCACAGTAATAAAACAATAGCGAGGATCGTTTGTCCACAGACAATGACTTCTGCTCATGTACATCAATACTTAGAGGAACCCAGAAGACGCTTCATCTTTTGTCAATTTGCAAATTTTTATCCCTCAATATTCATTGTCTAGTTTGTAAGGGGGTGTTAAACTCATCAGCATTTCAATGTAAAGAAAACAAAAACAAGCTGTGGGAGGTGCTGATCAATTAGGGATGATTTAGAACTGAGCATGCTCAAAGAGAGGGACAAACATGGCAGGCGGAGGAGGGTGGAATGCTTTCCCCAGCTTTGCCATGATTGACCCTGTCTTAGAGTGGCGAAAATCACTTTTTCTCCCTGGTAAGTGTTGGTTATATGTCTTACATTCTCAGGTTTGAGTTGTATTTCTTCTCTTCTAAATACTCAATTTTGGACCATCCTTGTGTAGTGTCAGTAATTGTTGACAAGTTGGGATCCAACTACAAGACTTAGGTTCTTTCTATAACGTGACCGATGTTGCGTGAACATGTATATGACAGCAGAAAACAGAAGTTGTCCAAATCATGTCTGGAAGTAGGTTAGTTTGTAGAATGGATGTGTATTGAGGATTTTAGCCTGCGTCTGGCACCATGTAGTTCATCAATGACTGTTGTCATTGAAGCAGGAAAATCTTTAAAGTATCTCTCCCGTTTCCTGGGAATACCATTCGTCCAATACATTCTCTGTCAGTTCTAGATAGACAGCTTCACAAATGCTGCAATAAGATAAAAAGGAATATTCCATTTGTTGGTATCATTACCAGGTATGTAATGAATTTCCATCTGTGTCCTGGGGGTTTTTAGAAGTGTAAAAATGGGATTTTTATGTTCCTTTTTTTGAAAAATAGTAGGCTATAAATCTTCTCAATGGACTGAAGGTCTGTAATTTTGTAATTAAAGCACGCTAATAGAGCAGCGCAGTGAGATCATTTGGTTTAAACACAGGTTTCATGTATAACTGGTACTCAAGACTGGCTAATTCAATTGGAAGCATTATACATAGAAATCTTTTCAAACACCCAGTAAAATGGTTGTGCCCAGCTGAAGTGATCCCATGTCATGTCTTAGTATTACGGTATTACTAGTTTGGACTGTGAATATAACAAACCAACAAACTTGTTAACAATAGACAGACAGCAGTATACCCAGTTGAAAAGAATTACCACAACCTTCTCTTGTACAAAATGTATGCCAACCCTAACCATGATACTTCTTGTTCCAGGTTCACACTTCCAGATCAGGAATCTCCTAAGCGAAAGTAGACTATCACCTTTACCTGACCTGAACTGGGCCAGCTCCAGAGAGCTGTGGTCGCCCATGTTAGAGAAGGAGGCACACTACAACAGAGATCACAACTACCTGAACAGACACCCAGGACTGGCACCACGCATGAGGGCCATCTTGTTAGACTGGTTAATAGAGGTACGATCTCAACATCAGATCAAGATTTTCATTTGTAACATTAATATCTCACCTGCATCCAGGGCATTGATACAGAGATCAATTTGTATAAAGATCAATGTTAACTGACAATTTTGAAAGTTAAGTTTTCTCAATGAATTGTTGATTTTACTTGCATTGATGCTAAAATTCTCAAAAATGCTCTCCTTCCCTTGCAGGTGTGTGAAGTGTACAGATTACACAGGGAGACATTCTTCTTAGCACAGGACTTCATCGACAGATTCCTGTCCACAGAGAGAGACCTGCCCAAACACAGACTACAGCATATAGGCATCACAGCTCTCTTCATAGCAGCAAAGTTAGAGGTAAGAAGTGGCAACTATTAACTCACATTTTGGGAATTGGTTGCAGTACAGCAATTTGTGAGCAACGTCGTCAACAAGCCTTGTGCCGATTTAGCAGTAAATGATGATTCCAATATCTTGTGATTTTGTACTTGTACCTTTTGAACATACTGCCAGCTGTTCTTTCCTCACTTTGTGACATTCCATGTTTCCTTGTGTCTGCTCTGCACCTATCCTTACTATTGTTACTGTTCTTCTGTGTTTTGTTTGTATCCCCCAGACCAACTTTTAAGTCTTTATACCCCTGTTGTTGTCTTTTTGACTCACTTTCCAAGTTGAGATTCTTCTGCACCAGGTGAGCTTCAAGTCTAACTAATATCTTTGTCTATTTTTATCCGGTTCTGTTTTCCTCTATCTTTTAACAAGAAACATCTTTGTGACCTATGTAAATGAAATAACTGTATGAGGCACTTATGAGAACTTCTGCTGTCCACAGGAAATATACCCACCCAAAGTGACAGAGTTTGCCTATGTGACAGATGGTGCCTGTACAGATGAAGAAATCCTGGACATGGAACTAGTTATGCTGAAGGTAATGCAAACATCATGTATACTGGTACACAGTACTTCATCGTCTTAGTAATGATTCTCTCACCCAAGTTTTAATAGTTTAAAATTTGAATACGAGATGATCGTTTCATTCTGTTGACTCCGCAGGCCCTGAACTGGGAGTTGTCTCCGATGACTGTTAACTCCTGGCTGAACGTCTACCTCCAGCTCGCTAATCTGGACGCCATAGACTATGAAGAGTTCTACTTGCCACAATACTCAGGACACACCTTTGTACAGGTTGCCCAGGTAAGATTGAATGGCCCCCAGATCATCTCATGTGTTATGACAAAGTGGAGCCATACAAAGTCTTTGTCTGTGTGGCTTCACTTTGTCATAATACACCAGCTTTAGAGGCTTTCTGCGGAGAATAAAAACCAAAAGGATGACATTGGCAAAGATGGTCCTGCCTACTTTTTAGTAGAGTAGCAGCTACAAGTAAGAAAGACACGTTTCTACATACTATACTTGAAACACATGTTTGTTTGTGTTCAGATCTGTTGTTCTGTTAACTAAGCCTGTGTTGTTCCTGTAGCTGGTGGACCTGTGTATGTTGGACATCAGCTCCCTGCAGTTCTCCTACGCTGCCATTGCCACTGCTGCTCTCTATCACAACAGTTGTAGGGACATCTGCCTCAGAGTCTCAGGTAAACAAACAGGCTCTCACCTGTAGTGTAAACATCCCATGTAACACTGAAGGATGTAAAACCAGCACTCTAGACACATACTAAGCATTGCAGTATAATACCATCCTTAATGGTGGTGTTCTTTAACATATTTTCCAATATCTCTGTCACCAGTCAAAAGGTTTGAACTTCAGCTTTGCGATAAGTAAACTCTTTGGGGATTTCACTCAAATTTATGGGTCTATCCTTAACAACGAAGCTGTTTTCCTGCTGCAGGTTTTTCATGGGAAGAAGTGGCCCCCTGTGTGCAGTGGATGACACCATACGCCATCACCAGGAGAGAAGCAGGATACGTCCCACTCAAGATGTACAGCCAGATCAGTCCAGAATCTGCACACAACATCCAAAACCACACCTGTGATCTTGCCATGCTGGTGAGCTAAATCCAGTGCACACCTTCTGTCTATCATATCTGTTCAAAATTTGCGATCATAAGTTACCAGTAACTCTCACAACTGTGATCAAGAAGTACATTAGACATTAAAAATTTGGAGGCATGTCATTCTTACCTTTCCAAAATAGTCACTGATTGAGGAATATTGTACAATGACAAATTTTGCTTTAAAATCTTCCAAATGTTAAAACTATTCCACTGTTTTCTTTCTGTACTAGGAGAAAGCCCAGGCCAGACAGGCGGAGATGTCAGCCCTGTCGCGTGCCAGCCCCCTGTCCATCCCTGGGATGATCACCCCTCCTCAGAGCAACAAGAAACAACACACCACCACTTGAGGAGGTGGTACTGTTCACAACATATGGTGTCCACAATCTTACAATATACCAGTCTCTGTGTCTGACTGGAACAAGGCAGCTATATCTATCTTATGTACAGTTTCCAAATTTTGAGAGTGAAGGAGGATAGAACAGTGTTGAGTTCCACATCCTTGTGTTGCCCCTTGCTTTGGAGCTTGTGACATTTTTTATTGAAAAGGAAGTAAGCTCGTATCAAAAAGGTTTACTTTGCCTGCCATTGATTTGAAACTTCACCCTATGAAATGTCTTTACAGTGTTTGTTATTTTAGCTTGCTCCAAAAGCTGCTATGCTTCGCTTATCACTGCCTATAATCATTTTCTTTTTGTAGATATTTTCAGTACCCAGTTAAGACCAAGCAATATCACGCTTGCAATGTCCACGGGTATGTGCAGCCAGTATCATTAGATATTAGGTGACAAAATGATAAATTCCAAGTGCTTATATGCTTGTTTGCTTATGCAAGTGCCGGAAAAAATTAGTGTCTTTTGTAGTTGTTTTGCTGTCAAAATAGACTGCATAGGACACAATGCACCCATAAAGATATGGGTCAATTTTAGTTGTGAGTGTGGTATTGAAAAGTGTGCTTTACAACCCAGTCTTGTGCAAATTTTGGGAAGGTAGGGTTGGCTTAAAATATCTGCTTTGAGTCAAGTTGAGGAAAACTTTGTCAGGTTTCATGACATTGTGCTCATTTAGGAAAAACACTACGGACCAAAGGGGTATTCAAATTTGTAATGAAATGGTAGGAAAGAATTCCAACAAATTCTAATGCAGAAAATATTCCACCCTAACAATAGAGATATAATTAGCCACTTGATGCAACCATATGATGTGTAGATATGTCACATCTCAGGTGGAAACCAGTACATATCTCAGGGTGATTTTATTTTTCAGTCACACATTTGGCTAGGTATTGTAAGCCAAACTTTTAGTTTCTAATGAATTTTGTATATTTGTTTTTATTATACTGTAATCAGATGGTTGCAGTGTGTTTTAGTCCACTCCAGAATACAAAGAAAAGTGTGAGAACAATGCCGTATTCTGTACCTCTGGGTAATACAAAGAAAGGTAACAAGTGAGATTGTGGTGGAGTCAACACCTTGTTCAGAGGTTTTACAGTGCTGCAAGTTGTTTTTGAAGATGCAGAGAATGAGAATTTAGATTTAGGTGCCATACCTGTTGCCACTTTGGTATTTTGACTTCACCAGAAGCCATCGGTTGAAACATTTTTAGACTGTAAATGTATTTATATTTGGAACCATGGCATCAATACCCTTTGTGTGAATTTTTATGACATAACCATATGATGTAGCAATTTTCATCATGTGTCAATGATTGCCAATTCTTTTGCAATGTGAAATATATCTTATCAATTGCACTTCACAAATAAAAGAAGCAAATACAGAAAATTTAAGTGTTTTTTTTTTATTGAAAAGACAAATCTGCACACACATACAATGATGGCCAGCATGAATGTGGCATTCTATCTTTCCATGTCAACTTGAGAAATTCTCGGATATAGGGACCAATACAAACATCTATCTTTTTCATACACAAGGATAGTCTTCAAGACTTGACACACTATGTAACTGAAATACTTATTCTAAAACATTACACAGCATAATGTTGATGCTCAGCATTCATGCATTACCCCACAAATGCGAATGGCTATGTTTTCCGGGGGTAGACTGAAAATACTTAACAAAAGGAATAAACATCTGACAGTAAATTCATAATTTTGTATTAGAAAAACAATTGGAACTTGGTGCTTAGATACATACAGCTGTAAGTTCAGATCAGTGTATGGAGGGAAGCATTAGGATATGTATTTACAGCAAATCATTGGGAAAATCCTATATGTACAAAAATGAGAAGAACTATGTAAGCATTCTGACCAGTACAATTTATCTGAACAAAAATTTTCTTGGGTAATGGAGGAGATCCAGTTTTAACACCTTTTTTTTTTGTTACAAACAGCACACAGCAATCTCATACACAGCACCCAAAACAGTCCCGGTAAATACAACATAATATTACTAACATTCCTGTAGCTACACTTGACTAACAGGTGATTGACCAAAGGTACTAGTATTTTGTGCCCGTTATACAGACATTGTGATGTGTCAAGAAAATGGGTACACATAGTTGTCATTTTCACCACCCCAGTGTTTTTCAAGTATTATTTGCCAACTGGAATCTAGGCCAAGGTTGCCAATTTGTTCACCTGTTTGCATATCAAAAGTTTCACCAGTCATTAAGGCCTGGCAAAATTGATACTGTTTTTGCATCAACAGTTCTTAAAGACGAGATACATGTAGGTTACAAAGAAAGTTTAACCTATGAAATGACCAAGTGTCTTAATTCTTATTGAATGACAACAATGGAGGCATGATGTGTAGCTACTAGCCAGACTTTACCCTCCTCCCAGCATCCCATCCATTTTTCCATATTTTCGCCATACTTACACACTAGCATAACACTAGACCTCGCAATTACATGTACCTCAGGTACAACCTACAACTGCACACACTATCTAAATGGCACTATACACTGCAGGATGTGTATGTAAGGAAAAAAGGCATCAGAGTTGCTGTTGCATGGCATAATAAGGAAATTCTCAATGCAGTTCATGTAGAATTACATACTATTGGACAATTCACCATTAGAATTACATTGACTCTTCATTTTCCCAAGTTGGAAATAATTGTTTCTTTGCATTTCCTTCATTTGATAAAGATCTTGTAAGTGCAGTATAGTGGCATTTGTGGGAATAAATATGTTTATCACATTGATATGCAAAAATGCAACATTTCCAAGGCCATCAATTAATATTTTCACTTGGAAGATTTGTGTTGAAGTTGCCATAATCATACAACTGGTCCATGTACCCATGTTCATGAATATCAATAAAATATGATCTCTTACTGTTTGAGTCAAGTGAGAAGTGCTAACACTAACTCAACTCTAACTGCTGTTTTAATAATTTTTTTTTAAATTTTTTTTAACAGATTCCAGACATTTTCCTTTGGGTGTTCTTTCAAAACTAAGATCCAAGGACAAAGGGAGAAGGCACATCGGGGGCTCAAAGCACAAATACTGGCATAAAAGGAGTCCATTTTTCTTTTCACGGAGGTCACAATAGGCTTTCAGCAAAATACTGAATGTACAAAATAGGAGGTTCCAATGGAAAAATACACTAAGCTTGATCACAATCCCCATTCAATCTTCTCAGGTGTCTTGATTTTGCCACAGCAGATAAACAATCACATCATCATGTTTTGCATGATACAGAGCCTTGAACACAATCACATATACTAGCTAAGCTTTAATGACATTAACAATGACATCATCTGTGCTTTTGACGAGCAGCCTTGAACCTGGATACCTTCTTGGGGGGAAGTTCTGGTGTAACGTTTGAGTTCACGGTGGGATGAGCATCTTTTTCCAAAACCTCTCCAGAAAAGGCCTGGGGTAATAAACAAAGAGTGAGCATCATTTTGTTACTAAAAAAAAATCTAATGAAGTAGGGTACAATGCGTAATAAAAGTCTACAGTGAAAAAAGATCCTGTAAAGATGATGACAAAAGGAGCAATTCACCTTGACTTCCCCTTGCTTTACAATGAGTGCTAGAGGTCTGTGTGACATTTTGGACAAATGTAACTATGTGATTCATGTATTGTACATTTCCAATATTGTATACTTACCGACTTCGGAGCTGGTAGAGGAGGTGGTTTCTGTGGCTCTGCCTCCTCACGATTTACGTTATTCTGCACCACCTCTACTACTTCCTCTCTGGAAGAGGTTTTCTTCAGGATAGACTTGGGTTTGATGCCTGAGGTAGGCTTGTCCTCGACTGCTGGGACTTTTGGCACAGAGTTGACCTGGCCTTCAGGTAAGGTGTGTAGAGACGGTGACTCTGGCTGGCAGTACAGGTTGTAGATGTCGGCAGGGCTGGTTACAGTCCCTGGTGATGGAACATTTCTCTCATTCACCTGGTCCTGAGATAGAAAAAATTGAAATTATGGCACAACGGTTGTGGGGGCCTAAACAAAATTGACTAAGACAAAATCATTGACAAAGGAAATGCATGAAGAATTCCTTTTCAAAGAAATGATATCATTGCTACTCATGAAATCCTCAAGATATTTTCATATAGCCTCAAAGAAATGTGCTGAAAAAGAACAACACGGTTCGAAAATGGTACAAAAGAGTGGCTGTGTACGTACGTCCTCTGTTATGGGTAGGGGAGTGTGGTGGAACACAATCCTGGCTGGAGAGGACACATCGCTGTCTTCGTCATACTCATAGGAGGGGACATGCTTAGGGTACGGGATGTTAGCCACTGTTTTCCCGTCATGTGGCTTTATCTCAGAAGTCCTATGTCCTTCTTCAGTGCTTTCAGTTGTCTCAGAATTCTGCTGGTCCTTCCAGCGGACTGACTTCTTCTTCTCCTGAAGGGCATCCGACTCAGCGGACCGATGTGCGCTGTCGTACTCAAATCTTCTGCTCATTTCTGCTTTCCTAATCTGGGCTGCGATGTCATCGTCGGTGAAGTTGATGTCACTGTCATCCTCCCCGTCATCTTCGTCATCCTCCTGGTACCCCTCCTCATCCTCCTCACCCTCCTCACTAGACCACAGCCTGGACAGGCAGGGTGAGGGACAAAAGCAGTGTAAGGACCGAGCAAATAGACCTTCAATCTTGACATGCTTGCATATTGTAGAAGGTAAGAAGAAACCTCCATACGTGACGTGCACATGTCACTGCTCATCCAGCATATACCTCTACTACTGGTACATCTACATATACCAATATTATAAATCAAAATTAAACAGAAACTTTGCAACAAACAGTGCTGATGATAATTTCTGCCATTAGTAATCATCCAATGTTCAGTAATCATCATCTGCCAGGAGGCATTATTAACTGTGATCAGCAGTCACTGTCAATTGCACCTGTATTGGTAACTTCACATTCTTGTACTCACCCAAAGAACCTATCTCTACCCTGATACCAACAACAATGAAGATTACCCAAGAATTGAAACAACTTCTTGCCTGTTCATCTCATCTTCTTCTTCCTCCAGCCTCTCCAGTGTGTCCAGTCGGGCCCAAATGGCCTCTTCTGTTTGTATTGGCTTCTGCTGGGACAGCAAACTAACGGGTATATCATCTTCTGTTAGCTCCTTTTTAACCGCTGGTCGTTTCACCACCCGATCTGATGGCTTTTTCACACGACTGATTCTCTCTGTGGGAAAGATTCATTCAATGTGACTCATGCTTCATGTTACTCAGGCACAACTACTCAAGAAATATCAAACCAAAAAGCAATTCATTTTCTAGCCTGATTACCAAATCTATTTTAGCTTCCAAGTCTGGGGAGCTAAACTAGGTTTGGTAACCTGGCTATTCATTTTCACCATCTTACTCAAAGCATTGAGGACTGTAGCTATGATTGGCATTGGAGGATTTGGGTCAGATAAACATAAGTGTTCTTGTTTACATATTCCCTGCTATAAAACCTTTGGTATGTTTACTCTGTTCAAACACCACCCAACTCTTTACCGTAGTTTATGTGTAAATCACCCAAGCACATGGACAGCTGACCAAAACATACATGTTGACTATTTCTAAAAGATTAAGGAGAAGGGTCAGACAGACAACACTGCAAATTTCACTTAAATGAATTATATGCACAATCACAATTCAATAGTTAATGTGATGACCCTCTCTCCTGCCCATCTCAATGACAAAGTAAGTATTTCCACAATATTGTAATGTTGACATCACATACTAATAGTCAGTGCCAAACTAGGATTTAAAACTAGAAAGGCCAATGTTTGCTTTGGAGCAAATACAGCGATGGGTTCACCACATTTTACGACATGGCAGGGAAAGAATGGGAAACACAAGGGAAAACAATGATTTACATTGATATAACTATAATATGAAGTAAAATACAACTAAAACAACAGTTGGATAGCTATTCCCTACTTTATTGGTTAGGATTTTTAATTGCATAATGCAAACTGTTGATTTTCAAAATAAAAAAAAAACGTCCATGCCCGGCATTCCAATGCTGGAGCAGGAAAGCTTGAAATACCTACCAAAACACTTGAATACAGACATACTGTCAGTATGGAAATGCTTCTGTGCAGGTGTTAATCAAGTTAAATCCCAACAGCCAATCAGCAAGAAGTATAGAGGAAAGCTGCATGCCTATTGGTTGATGCCCTGCATTCCATTGTGATGACTCATGCCCAAACCGTGGTAAACAAGGCACACTAACACAGTAATACATTTGCTATAACACAGCCAAAAAACTCAAATAAAACCATTCTAAAAGCCTGTATCACAATAATTTAAAAAACGCCTAGGGGTATTTGCCCACTGTACCTCCATACCAAATTTCAGGACCTTGGGCCCTAAAATGAAGAAGCTGAATCCATTTAAAAAATGGCAGGAGAAGAAGGAGGAGGAGAAGAAGAAACATCAGAAAAAGCAATGTGGTGAACCCATAACAATTTACACATCACAACCACTGTATGTTTTCTACACCACTGTACATTTTAGAAAATTAATTTTTCACTTACTTGTGGGTTTGTCATCCCTCTCTGGCACATACTCCTCTCTGATTTCCATAACTTCACCTTGACCCTGTGATAATCACAAGATTACGAGTGCGTCATGCAAATAATATTCATCCCAAACTCATCTGTCTCATGTTAATATAATGGCAAAATGTCAATACGGTACATGTATATGTTTTTGCAATAAAGTAGAAAGTTGCAATCAATATTCATTTCTATTGTGCAACTAGACCAAAGGTCATTTACATCATGTGCAAGGTACATAATGCAATGAAAATGATTCTGAAAATTTTACATACTTCCTTCATGACCCATCCCTATATCCCTTAAGTTAATGGTATCTTACAACAATAGAAGCCTTTGCTGCATCCTGTAGTTCTTCTGTATATCCCACTCTAGACTCCAGCAACCCCAGTTCCTTTTTAAGATCCTTCAATGTGTTGTCAATTCCTATAGGTAGAAAATATGTCAATCTGGAGGCATAATTTACAAAATACCGTAACACAATAGGCTAAATTGACCAAACCTAGAATATGCCACGACAGTATTGGATCCATATACAAAGACAGACAAAGACAAACTGGAAAGGGGACACAACCAAGCTGCAAGATTCTATATGAACAGAAGGGGTGCTAGTGTCAAGGAAATGAAAACAAACCTACATCAATGTCACTGGATGACAGAAAAAAATTTACAGACTATGCATAATTGTACAAAATGACTACAGTAATCAACTGATGGGTGTAAATGATACCAGCTCAAAAAAAAAACAATAAGAAATAGTAATGCTTTCAAGTGCCAGACTTTTCAACCAAGGACTAATTTTTTTTCCTAGAACAATCGTAGAGTGAAACTTGCTGCCACCAAGTACAGGTAAATTGGATTAGTGATCACCATCAGTGGTTATTACTTGGCAACAGTAGCTATCTAATGGTATTACAAACCTGACAAATGTTTTTCCCAACGTGACAAAACTACAGAACAGAAACAATGGGAAGTCAGGCTCACGTTTTCTCCTCCTGTCTATGATCTCACACGCCTGCTTGGCTGACCGCTCCACAAACCAGTTATCTCCCAGGAGGACCAGGACTTCATTGGTGTGGACAAGATGTCCTGGCATGAAGGCCAGGGAGCCATAGGGAACCTAGGAGTGTCAACCAAATAGTGTAATTCACTTTATGTTCACGGGCAAAAGCTTGTGGTCTGAGAAAAATGGAGGTGTTCACAGAACTATATGTTCACGGTGGCATCAGGTGCAGAAAAAGAAAGTTGGCAAATAATTTGATAATGGTGTAAATCACACAGTGCCAAAAAAAATCAGGAATTACAGTACTAGTACATGGTCAGGTCTCAGACACCCTTAATCAGTATCAAGTGCCAAAATGCCATAATGCAACTGGAGATAACAGCAATTTTAAACAATTGCCATACGTCAATACATGCTATACCTGGCTCAAGAGGTTATACTTAAGAAGTACCTACCATTATGTCGTATGAAATCCTATCAGGTAGAGTTCTTAATCTGTCCTGTACAGCATTGTAATCAGACTTGAACTGTTTCCTGCAAAAAGAAACACCATTACACTTACAGGGCATTTTGTGTAATTGTACTAGATTTAAAGCAATAACAAATGAGTTTACAAGAAACTGATGACAAATTGTATGAATTACATAGAAGAAGGCAGAATCATAGAAAAATTAAATCAGTGTTAAGTTTGTAATTTTCACCTAGCAAGATATATACAACATTTGTACATTTGCGAAAGCACTGTCTATTGAACTCCTCATCAACAAGTATCAGCACTTGACAGTGCCATTGCATGTTACAAGCATAGTTTCTAACTGTTTGAATGTACTTTATTTCCGGATTGATCAATAGAAGGGGTTAGTCTAGCCGTGGATGACTCTGTAACCCTTTTTGCATGCAAAAAGGGTTACAGAGTCGTCCACGGCTAGGGTTAGTCTACATGGGGGTATGAACCAACCATTGCACTGTACACTGTAATTTGGAACAGTCTGATTGTGCCAAGTAGGGAAAAGGGCATGTCCCCATATGATATAAAGGCCAACAACATTTAAAGATGGTTGCTATTTTCTCTCCTGATAATCTAACAAAACCAACATACCATTGCTTGATCTTTGTCTTGCATGCCTCTATTGCCTGCAATGTAAGAATAGAAATAATTGAAAGGACAAATAATATATTTCCTTAAGATTTGCATATACTGTATACCATTTTAAGAAATATGATTTATATGATTTTACCATCATGATCATAAAGATAATGAAAATACCTACAGTAAAACATTCTCTTCAGGTTACGTTACATAAATAAGGGCACTTGATCTTAAAAAGTTCCAGATCAATGGTTCTGCCAATACATCTCTATTTTACTACTGCACGATGGCTGACCCTGCACAACCTAGCATCAGCCAACCGCACCACTTGTTACATCTGTAGCACGTAATCATTAATAGTAACAACACGAGGTGGGGTGCATACAAAGCATTCACGGCATTCGTCGGTAACTACATCTTGACAAATGATCAGGGGGTCGTCAGCGGCTTTGCACCGGTCGCCGAAGATCACTCCAGAGATTGCATTATGCTATATTTGCTGTTGATGTTAAAATCCTTGACCTTTGCAGTTTCAAAACGTGACAAAGAGCTCACTGGTGCCGGTATGCTTATAGACGTGTGTGATTTGCATGAAAGTGGGGTTACATGAACGTTCTACTAACAATAGCCGGTGAGTCATTGTTCTACAAAGCTAACAGTCTGGGTCTAGTACACATGTTAAGGTTGAAGGCGGGCAGCTCGCCCCCGTTTTTCGCCTAGCCGGGGGGTAAAGCACCATGACGATAAAGTGCGTTTGTGCGTGTGAAGAGTTTTAAGAACGAAATTGTGTCACCTCGTCTTGTGCCTCCCTCAGCCTGCCAATGTTCACGACCTCCTCCTGCAGCGGTCTCCCTGCTTCAGCCATGACTTTGTTCACCCACAGGACAAACCCCGTTGTCAAACGTTCCGTCAGTCGACAGGGAAAGTTGAACAAAGATGGTGAAGATGATGGCATGTGCTATCTTTCCGCCATGATGATGTTTGTCAAGCTGTGTCAAAGGTTAGCATAGGCTCGTTCATTACATTAAGGGGGGTTACATTTCAAAATTTTATTTTATTATCAGCTGTCTAAGCCTTTTTAAGGAAACTATAGATTCAATGATGTCACATTTAGCACTTATATACTTTTTATGAAGTTTTAGCAATATTTATTTTAATTTAACCTCAATGTTGACTACATTGCGTTCCCTAAAGTGAAATGACCCAAAGGTTACACAAGGTCATTGATAGCGGCGAAATGGCGGCGTCCATGTTAGTTCGTGCCTTCCAAAATAGCCGACAAACTTGGTCAACTTGCAGTAAATATGCATCTTTGGAGAAACAAAACTGGACTCTTTGGTAAGGCGCATTTTACTCTTTCTTCCATTCTGAAATAAAGGTTTCATTTTGTAGAAATCATGATCTAAAATTATGCCACATGTGGCAGTGTTTGTGGGAGGGGGGCAAATATGAGGGTAGCTTTTTCATGTCAGATTTGTCGACTTCTCACACAAAAGCCATAATTCCTGGACTTTAACACCTTCATACTTGAAGTTCATCCCAGCTCGTCCAAATTCCACTGTCACTCTCACTGATAGATAATGGAAGGACTACTGTGTTCAGGTGAAAATGTCAACAACTGTACTTACTAAATTATGTTTATCACACTACCAAAATTTTTATGACTCCTTCCCACAGTCTGCCAGCAGTCACCACCATCCTGCCGTGTAGAACCACCACCAGGCGCCGAGACCGCTTACCCCTCCCTCAGAGACTCTACGTGCCAGATAAAAGCAGAACTGACCAGGACCGCCAGGCCGAGGAGCTAACACCAGACAACATGGCACACATCCAGGAGTCTTACAAGGAGGAGGAGGAGTCTTTAACACAGGCTAGGCTGTGTCCACTTAAAGATGAGCCCTGGCCCCGACATGCCTGGACACCAGAGTCCAGGAGAACAGGTGTTCTGGCCACCAAGATTGGAATGATGCCGATGTGGACTAAGACAGGACACAGACTCACTGTCACACTCCTGCAGGTTAGAACACACTTATGTGTGTAGAATTTTTTAAAAGTAGCTATAATTTATGTTTCTTAACTGTCGTTGATGAAGTCAAACTTTTTTATGGTTATTGTTGGTACTTACTGATGATGATGTCGGTACTGTGAATGCATTCTAAAGTTTTGTGGTGGTTTTATTTCTGTTTTTTCCATGTACAGGTCCAGGATTGCCATGTGATCAGGTATGTTCCAGCATGGGACAGTGACAATCCAGGCATCCTCACACTGGGACACAGAACGTGCTCACCCTTTTATGTAAGTACTTAGTACATTTAAAGTCACATATGGGTAATGTTTATTGATATATTAATAATCTACAATCAATGTATATTCAATGACATCAGGTGGTCAATATTATACAAGTGGAATATACCTGTAATAGTTTGCCATAGGACAAAAAGAATATTGCAGGACTAATGTCATGTCATGATACAAAGTGCCAATGTGTGATGTTTTGAACTGTTTTTCTTTGGAGAAACCTTTACATTCATGACATTTTGCAGCATGTTACTAACACAGCCTTTGTCTCTGCCAGCTGTCAGAGGAGTACTTACGAACGTTTGAAAAAGCTGGCGTCCCACCTAAGAGGAAGATTGCAGAGTTTAAGGTCTCGAAAGATGCAGCCATTAAACCAGGTAATGTTGCACACTAGTACTGTATAACATGCATTTGATCTATTTTCTTGCAAGCCAAAGCTTTTGTGAGGTTGTCATACCAGTTGATTTTCATTGCTGACATGTTTTGATGTACCTAATTTTTCCTGTGCTCATGTCTGTACATGTAGGTACCCCGCTTTATGCAGCACACTTCAGGCCAGGCCAGTATGTAGATGTGTATGGCAAAAGGTAAGCCTCTCATACATTAGAGAACATTTGCTAAGAAACAATGACATGCTGCACAGGAGAAACAAACATCAAAACACATCCTTACTGTACCAATTCAGCACTAACGGTACATGAGGGAAGACACATAATGTTCTGCCCAATGTTCTTGAACAGTTTTTATTTCATGCAAAATACATACAGTAGAATTTGATTTGTTCACACTGTTACCCAGTACAATGTATGTGCCATTGGTTCAGAAATGCTGCACAGCATAGATAATCATATTGTGACATATGGTAATGGCCAATGTTCATTATAAAAGAATGACATTTTGCCCTTGTTTCTTCTCCACACCTCCAGTGTAGATAAGGGATTCCAGGGGGTGATGAAGAGACATGGGTTCAAGGGCCAGCCAGCCTCACATGGACAGACAAAAACACACAGACGGCCTGGTGCTATTGGCACAGCCGTGAGTTTAACACTCCTCCCATTGAATTTCTGCATACATTGTACTTTTGATCTTTTGCTGCTGTTGCTATCTATAATCAGGTTTTACCAAGAAACGCACACTTGTCTTCTTGGACATGAAAATATGTTGTCCAGACTCAATCATTTTCTACAAAGCAAATGTCATTTGGTGCTTATTAATACATATATTGATATGGAAAATATGTATAAACAAAGGCCAAAGTGAGCAACAGATGTCATCTTAATGAACTGTCTCTCCAGGGCCATGGCAGAGTCTTGCCTGGAACCAAGTTGCCTGGACCAATGGGAAATGTCGTCCGTTACACTAGGGGACTCAAGGTCAGTCTAGAACTACTCACTTCACACATTTACACAAAGCACATTTATTATTGTTTAAGTGACAAATTTTCTAAGAAGTAGAATTTTATGCAGTTCTTCAGATGGATTGTGGGGGCTCAACCAATCCCTGAGTTATCTTCTTTTCCTTTTCCAGATCTGGAGAGTCAACACCAAGCACAACATTTTGTACGTGAATGGGCAAGTCCCTGGTCACAACGATGGCTGGGTCAAGGTGTACGACTCCATTCTGTACAAGTCCAAGCACAAGAACAAGCTGGAGGACCACCTGGGCAACCTGCCTTTCCCCACGTACTTTGAGGAGGAGGAGGGGGAACTGGAGGAGGACCTGTATGATGATGAGCTGTTCCGCTTTGATGAGCCATCGATAGTCTTTGAATCTGCTGAGGGGGCAAAGAAGTAGAAATGAGTCTGGAATGGGTCAATTTTTAGTATAAGGCAAAACAATAATTGCTATAATTGATGACATCCCCTGTAGAATATAAGATGCTAGAGTATGTATAGTGTAAATACTACAGGTCTCATCTTCCACTCCAATGACAAGAGTCCACAAGACAGTCATGAGAGTTGGTAATGTTAGTGTTTGTTCATTTGTTTTATCATGAAGATGATAACACAGGATAATCTTGCTATAACAACATAGACTTTTTGTACCCAGTATCTAAGCTAGGCTGTAAGCACCATCAAGCAACATGTTAAGACCAAAGTTGGATCATTAAAGATTCAGTGATCTTCTGCAGAATGGTCTGTGCCTTTTCACTGGTAGTTACAACCTATGATTCAGCAAAACCTCAGCAGGTTGACAAGTTATGGTCTGGCAAGTACTGTACGAGATGTTAAACATTTTTTAAAATTACACATATTTGAATGTTTGAACTACAAAAAAAAAACAATAGATGAGGTCAGTGGTCTTAAGTAGAAAGGTCATGTTTCAGACAGACCATTGGTCAGAATGCATCAGATCAAAGGGTGACACAATCATGTGATCTCTTAATTGTAATTACAGCCTCATGTGGAACTTTAATTGCTCTTTTCAGACTACTGTTTTAGTCAACTACTAGTATATTATGCCTGTGAGATCATTATTTCACTTAAACCAAGAACTTCTGTGACCTACATCGTATGTAGTGTAAGACGTGCACAAATGTACTCAATTGCCGGTTCAGTTTATGTAAGTATCGATAAAATCCTGTCAGGCGATACATGTATGTTAAGATGTCCAGGACAAGAAAATTACCATAATGCATACAGCCTCAAGGTAGTCATTAATGAGTATGTACGCAGATGATGTACATACATCTGACAATTTGTATCAAAAAGACTTCCTTCTTTAAAAAAAAAAGTCAATTTACAGATGGTATACTGGAAGTTTGGGCGATCCCATACTCTTATGCACATGTGTATGCCTGCAAAGTTGAAATGAGCCCATGTTAGAACCTGATATTTACATGTAGCTGATATGCAAAAGACAGATAAATTAGCAACATGTTAATTTCTTCGTCTCCATTAATCTATCAAAGTTTGGCATCTCAATTGATTGGAGAGGTAACGAAAGGGTCAGAAGATTGAGATGAAACCATGGGGCACATGATAGCGACAAGACAACCTGGTCTAACCAGCGGTACCAGTTCGTTAGTTGTATTGTTATGCGAGTAACAAATGGTCCCGTGACCAGCATCTGGGGACATGTAATCGTCCGGACCTGCTTTTTCTTAGTAGGCACTCCTGACACAGGACGACTCTGACATGGTCCAGGGTGGTTCCTGACAGAGCAGCAGATTGTTGTAAGTATCCGCAGCTTGTCCTCAAAAACTGAGACGTAAAGACGGAATATGTCTCTTTAAAACTTTAACAGTAAACATATAAGTTTGTTACTTTCTTTCCGACGCCCCGGAGACCTGTTTCCGTTCGGCACCTTTAGACCTGTGAACTAGAATCGCAGTACATCACCACAGCCTGAACATCTGACGAAACATCAGCTAAACCTACGGGACAACGTATACAAAAATACGACTACGCGCAAGTTGCTACATTTACACAGTAGATGAAAACGTTCGTAAAAAGTCGTTTTTCTAACTAACAAGTCATGTGGCTTGCATAAGATAAAATACTGACAATTCTGCTTTTCATCATGATGCAGCCAAAACACAATGTCTGACCACCAGTCTCATGACACTTGTCACGGCCGGAAATTTTCTCTAAAACTGATCAGAGCCGTGACTCGGGCTACTAGATCGTGACCGACAAAACTACAGTCAACCCATATTGTTGGGCGATTTGTCGAGGAAACCAGATGCTACAACGAAAAGAGCCTGGGGGCAAATGATGTTTGTCGTGGCCTGGTGCGGTCGTCTTCCAGTAAACATACTGTGTAGCTAAGGAGCGGGCGGTATCTCGTTTAACTTCACAACTCTACGACGTCAAGATTCAATTTTCGTGAAGATCATTGTTTAATACAGCTCTCCTTTTTCCTCCCTGCACAGGATGTGAAGATCACCGGGGTATTCTCGTCGATCATCGTTTGACACAAGAAGACGCTGATCTGCTCACAGACGATGAGCCAATGCGGCATGTAAAAGGCTGACATTCTATGTCTTTACGTGCCACATTGTCTCCTTGTCTGCTGTGTTTAAGCATCGAAGGAAACAGTCCTGTACATCACCTACCGAGCCTCTCAACCCGGGGACACCTGTTGTAAAATTCTTCACGTTAGATTTATCTATTCCTACATAGTGCCCAAAAAGTTAGCAAACGAAATACGACTTCGCTCTACATCAATCAAGGTGATCTTAACAACATGTATTGTATGTTTTTTTCCTCTTCTTGACTTTTTGTTAATTTCTCGACACACCCCTCCATTTCTGTGTGAGTTCTGTAGCAGACAACTCTTCGTGAAAAACCGATCGTAAAGTTTGTACACCCCCAGGGAATGCACAGCATAATTAGCCTTAATTCAGAGCAGGCTTGGTGGGCGTATTAGCGTTCGCTCACATAGGCAGTAGGAGTGCCTATTCAGCTATACAGCTATCAAGGATTGTCAAACGACTGGGAGTTTGGGCTGCTAACGTCGCAAATCTTGATAAATCTACAGAGCTTTATCTGACAGTCCTAAATTTGTAAAACTTGTATACAAATTTGAATTCAGTTTGGCATGGCACCTAAAACGGATATATAGTTCGATCGCTCTTCTGTTTAAAATTTGTTATAAAGCGACATGGACTTTAGTCGGAGTGCGTTGCACCATTGAACCATTCTATTTATGGCTTCACCACAAAGTGGTGAAGACATATTGTGTTCCCTCATGTTTCTTCTCCTTCTCCTCCTTCTCCTCCTGCCATTTCTTTAAATGGATTCATCTCTGCCATTTTCTGGCCAAATAACACGAAATTTGGCATGAAGGTAGAGTGGGCAAATACCCTGACGCATTTTTTTCATTTTTTTGAAAAATTGTTTTATTTGGGTTTTTTGGCCATTTTCAGGCAAAAAATATACATTTTGAGATCTGGTTCCCAGGTACTAAAACCAAATGACCTGAAATTTGGTATGGGGATACCTTGGACATATGTCTACAAAAAGTCATTCAAGCTTTTGACATACACCACTTTAAAATTGGGTAAAATAAGGCTTTTTTGCTATTTTCGGACCAAAAATGTACATTTTTGGCTCCTGTGCCCTAATATTAAATCCGAATGACCTGAAATTTGGTATGGGGATACCTTGGACACATGTCCAAAGAATGTCATTCTCGATTTTGACATACACCACTTTAAAGTTATGTAAAATAGGGCTTTTTGGCTATTTCCGGCATTGGAAGGTTCCATTGCTGCATGGGGGTGTAGACTATTGGCAGCCATCGTAGGATAGATCCATTTTCGGTATGGGGGATGTGGTGAAGCCATCTGCTGCATTTGCTCTCAAGCAAATGTCGGCCTTTCTAGTTGAAGATTGTATTTCTATTATCATTAAACAATGAAAGTTTGTTTTGTCACACGCATGGTACGCCATGGTACAGTCACGGGTTTAAGACCTGGTTTTCACAATTGTGCCGCTGTCCCCAGTGAATGTAACGCTGCATTGTATACATACATTGTACTAGTATTCAAGTACCAGTCGTTTGCCACCCCACCCCCTTGGGACGAGCATTTTAGTCATCACATCAGGAAATTTGTAATGACACTATATACTAGTACACACAGTCCCATTTCTTTTAGCGTTATGGTGACATTCCAACATCTCATTTCCAATGTAGTCGGAATTTAATAAAAGAAATGAAAGTGGCCACAGTAGAATTAAAATGGGAGAAAATAAAATTAAATAACTGGCTTGGATAATCATTACTCGACTCTCTTCTCTTTAAGCCAAAACGATGCATTTTCTGTGCTTCATGATCAGTGCCTGTTTTCCGTACAACAATAACCAATTCTATGCCACCGTAATCATTCCTCATAACTAGCTATACATGTATATATCACACACTGAATACTAGTAATCAACCACACATGTTTTATCTAGACCTACTGCCCCCTGATGTTTCGCTATTGTTGTTCATATGTCTTTGATGATGTTTGTTAGTTTTATAATCACGGGACTGTCATAAAACAATCAATTAATCTATCAATCATGATAAAGCCTATATATAGTGCGTACATTCTTCTTAATTTTATAAACCTAAGCATCTAAATGTAAAAAAAAAACAAGAAGCCATAGGTGACAATCCTCCGTGAAGTTTTATATATTTCAACAAAATCCCAAGCGTCAACGCCAGACCTACTGTGCAGACATTATAATTAGGCAACGGTTAATACAATGAGGGCGCGTCACAAGCATAAAACATACAAAGAGCTAAATCCATTACTGCTCCCAGGGCGTTTAAAGATATATACTGTGCTTCAAGTTCGAAGTTCATTTTAATTACACACACACAATCATTGCATTCACATAAAGATCGGACTATCATGGTCGTGTCTAGTAACAAAGACAGTCCCACCGTCTTACCGTGCCTGTACCTAATTAAGCGCGCCTGGAAATTCCAGCAATAGTTGCGGTAAGCACCGCGAGTGTTACTACCGCCGGCCAGATAACCAGGATATCTGCTTAGAGTACATCTGCTACCAGACAACTGCCTAAACCTACGGCCTATTCCACAGGATTGTAAAAGTAGGGATGTTTCTAAAATATGCATTTACTTCAATATCAAAATAGCTACGGTAAAAATAAAAAGACGTGCATCATCCCGGACATAATGCAACACCACATGCGAAATTACACAGAAATGCGACGTACGGAAGAATGCGTTTTGGCTGCGAACATCTTCCAAAAAACTTGGCATCTCTTAACCATGGGCAAAAACATCTGGAACCACTTATAAAAACCACCCCGTATCTGCATGAACTTTTACCCCCCCCCACTGCTATTCCAAACAACGCGTTTTTCTGGACCATTCCAATTCGCCTCGTAATTGTAGGGGTGCGTCTGCGATATTACATTGACCGCGAAAGCAGCAACGGCAAAAATACACATTCGTGCATCAACACGGGCATGCCCGCAGACGGCGTATAAAATTGCGTGCCGATTACACAAAGAGAACCCAGTGTTTTGACTGCGAACACGAAAAATCAGCCGATCACAACACTCCGTCCGGAGGTCCTGACCTCCTTCACGGAGTAATAATGAAGACGTGCAGACGTAATTGGAATTTACGATAATTTTTGGCCTCAAATGTTACATGGGGAAACGCTTTACTTGTAACAGCCATCAGGGCAAGTGACGGGAACGGTGTTACTGTAGTCATGACCGCCCCCTTGCGACGAGAGGTGCTTGTGGAAGCCTTAGTTGAGGATGTTCATCACGTCCTTAGCTTTGAAATTGAGGCTTAGAGGACTTGTTTTTCATTACAAACGTTCCCAGGGAAAGGCATCAAAGAAAATTGATTTTGAGTCTGGAGAGAAAGAAAAAACAGGACAAAATCACTAAAATCAATGTTTTTAGGTGCCGAGGCTGTCACAGAGGATGAAAGAAGACCCTTTATTCGTGTCAGCCGATTGCTCACTCACTGACAAGATCATCGAGTATTCGAATGCAATTCAAAAGGATCTTATCTAGCTGAAGTTGGCAAAGCTCACACTTAGCGAACTGAAATTGTGAGACTTGCAAACCCCAATGGAGGATGCTTGAACGACCACTGAACTGAGAAAAACAAGAAATCTGATATTTCAGATTTTCACGGGAAGTATGGCCAGGTATGCAATCCTGGGCTTCCTGAATTTCTCCATGCTGACCTGTAATGCCTGCTGGTTCCCGGTCAGATTGTAACACCTTTTCTCACCTTTGACCTCCTGTCTGTCTACCTGGTATTAAATCTTCCCCACCCATGCGTTGTCAACCTACAGTACTGGAGAACAGTTTATTTTTTCAGAGAAACGAAAATGCATCAGTTGACTAATATTTTCACGTGCACTACCTCGACAGCTATGATAACGAGTGTAAGTTGAGAAGTCCATTTCTTTTATTACTTGTATTTTGTACCACTTTAAAGTTTTGAATTTGGCGCCAAAACTCCAGTTCCAGCCAGTGAGTGGTGCATCCGGGACTTTGGGCCTCGAACTCGGAGAAGGTCACAGCTGACCTGACGACTCGCACCGCAACACGCGGAATTCTTGCTGGGACGGCGGCGGGAAAGGTGAGTTTTTACCGCGTTCTGGCGTGTTGTGGGCCGCGTCTTCCCTCGGGTTTGGTCGATAGCCAGCTAGTATATACTACCGTAAACGTTCCCACCTCTTTGAATTCCAAGTGATGTTTTTATAGCACGAGGTTCTGTCCTTGTCGCGACGTGGGCCGTGTCACGCGTCGCGAGGGGTCTTTACACTAAGCCGAAGGAAAAGGGAGGGGGGCGACGTCGAAATAAGTTGTACTTTCTGTCTGTCTATTATACCTAACCATTTTGGCCAAAGTTTGGTACTTGACCAATGTGCTGTGGTAGCCAGACGTGCGAAATGTGTGTCGCTGGTATGTCGATATAGATAGAAGAGCTACACATCCAGGGTGTAGGCGCCAGGACATGGCATGGCAGGAGGACCCCGGGGCTACGAACGTGTTTGTCAGTCAGTGGAACATGTTGTGTGTTAGCTGGTCAGCACGTAACAGCGAGATCCTAACCTCTGGTCTCTTCTTGGCGTGTGACCCGGCAGTTTAAAAACCTTTAAAAGACATGTCCAACAACAAAGACCTAGACAGGGCGACTAGAACATGATACTCATTTTCATTGTCAACATTATGGAATTTTTACCAGTCACGTAGAGAGTAAAATTCTTTACGGCACTTACCTTGCTGACAGTGGCAGTAAGATATGTACTGATTGTGATTGTATCGAACTGTAAAAACACACCATACTGACACAAGCTGCTACAGTAATGTTTAATTATGGGATTCCTTGAATAATATATTTTGTTTCTAGAGCATTCTTGAATATCATTGTTATATAACTTATAATTTGTTGTTGTTTGATTGTTTTGAGTTTTCTATGAAAAAAGTTTTAATTTCATTTTGATTCCCATTTTATTCAGGACGACGACAAACTACCGAAAAAGTCATGGCAGCACGAAAGGTGTGTGAGGTAATCGTAATTTGGCAGGACCAAAATGACTGTCACTATTTTGTCTTAATCTTATCTACATCTTAATCTTCTTGAGAACAACAAGGTTGAGTCATTTTCTTAATAGATCTTTAGTAGTTACTATTGAGAGTGATAATTTTTCTACTTATGTTCAAGATTGTTTAAAATGAGCAGAGAAAACGATGTTTAAAGATATCTCGGAGTCCATATATTTGTTGCTACTTGTGTTCAGCATCTAAACATCAAATTCAATCCCAAATGAAAACTTTTTGTTGACGGTCAACTTTTAATGTGTACAGTGAATATTTTCAATATCTCCTTTTTTTTCTTTGTTGAATTTGGTTTTACATGTATTAGAATTCTAGAGTTAAAATCAAAATGTACGATATGTGATACATAGTATCAAATATCCTGTGTTTTATTTCACGATGTGATAAACTACTGAGAGATGCATGTATCATAGAGATGCATGTATCATCTGAATATCCTGAATCCTGAACTGATCTGTAGAGACCTACCATTAATTTGAAACAAGTCTAACACATATTTTCAGACCCTCTTAAATTTACTGTTACATTTTTACTTAGTAAAGTAAGCATTTCCAAGATCCCCCATGCAGGCCCTCTTAAGGCTTTGGTTTTCTATTGAGAGTTGCACTGATGGGTTGTCAGTTGGCAATGGATGTTGGTAGATGTACCAAAGCAATTTTTTACTTCACTGGGGGACTAAGAGGTACGTGCTATACATGTGTAATATTCCACACCGCTGGTCCAGAACATTGATGAAAAGGGTTGTCAAATCACTGTGGATATCCAGGATGCACTCCCCGAACAGTGGTACCTTTCAATAACTCTGTGGTTCACATTAAGGCTCCTGAGTCATCGATCAAGTTGATGGATGTGTCTTCTTCAGCATCTTACAGTGACAGGTGTTCCTTTTATCACATGATGAGGGGTAGATTCAGATATGAGATTTGTCATGGGATCATGCAGGTAGCCTAGCCTGTCTCGTCTGATAAACTACCATCATTTATCTACTGTTGAGCAAAGTCTATACCACCTGACAAATGACTCTGGATAAAGGTATCACAGAAGTAGCCAAGTCATGTTGCCAGCAGGGTTAAGTTGATGAAAGAACATGTTCCTGTATGGAACCCCCACTCGTTTCTTGGTACTGTACTTGGAACGTGACTAGTAAGTCAGATTGCTCTTTCCACAGATGTTCTTCTGGCACAAGTGAACTGTTGGGGTTCAGGAGTGAGGTATAACTACTAGTATGGAAATATAGTCAATTTGCACTAAAATGATTATGGAGTAGCTGTTTCCTAAGTTGAAGCACCTTTTTTTTATCACACCTTGAAGAAACTTGCAGAGGAATTGGTGTTCTTAACCCTTTCTGAGAATGTGATCCAGCTGCACAGTTGGCAGTTGTGGGTGAATGCAACATAGCCGCCCTAGAGGCCATAGTACATGTACTCATGTCTTCACATACCTGGTAATGTTTGTCAGAGCAATTGAAAAAGGAAGACAGCATTAGCAGGTCTCTACCTCAGGGCAGATCATGGGTAGTGGGCAGGAAAATGGCCACTTCCCAACTGTATTGGCAGTGAAATACTACTCTAGGAACCACTTCTACTGTCATTAGGAACCGTCTGAATTTATGGCTGAGCACTCAGGCAGGTAAGACTCATGATTCACGCAACATAACCACAAGAGAGATAGCTTAAGAAAGTTTTGATGGACTTCAGAGAAAGACTAATGTGCATGGCTCGCCCGTACAGTCATGGTGACACCCAAATGTCACTGTACATGGTCCAACTGACATAGACTGTAATGTATTACCAGATATATTTGTTACAAAACATTTGACAGCAAAATTTCTTTTGGTAAAGCCATTCTTTATAGTTGAAGTAAATATTTTAGCCTTGAACTGTGATTGAATAAAGTCCCAGTGTAAAATCAGATACACTTGAAAGTTATGGAATCTATTATTTTCTATCATAGTTGAAGCTTTTCATTTCCTCTGCTGTATCACAGAAATGATAGTGTTACCATTCAATCCCCCAGTACTGATTCAATCTATTTTTGGAGGCGTTGGTGCCTTTATTTCCTGCTGGTAGGCCACTACATGTAACGTTAATGCACAGATCAGAATCATACCATTAAAATTGTGCCAGTAAGAGAGACTCAGAGAGAGTAGAGAGCTCTATCAACTGTTTAAGTGCACTGGGTATGCATATGTCAAAGGCTGTAAACTGCCTGTCCTTGAATACAGGCTTCTGCCTGACCCTTAGGACTGCGAGCCAAAGAAACCCTTGTCTTCATCCCTGGATCCGGTATTAGTGAACTAAATTCGATTTGGTAAGTCTACTGGCAGCTGCTGGCATTAAGTGTGGTAGCAGCCTCATTTGTCTTATAAGTATAGTCCAGTGTTGTGGTTCCAGGGCTTTGGAAACAGAGGTTAGACTTGATGCATTTTTCTGATATTCAGGGCCGTGACTTGAACTGTTCGCTTGTGCTGGAGGGAGTCTGGATGATAGCGTCTTTACAGTTGAATAGATGAGTTACCATCTCCATCTGTGTCAGTCTTATGGTCAATAAATTATATGACTCGTATGAGAGACTTGTATTCCAAGTTGGCTGTCATTGAAGAGTGATTTTCAGAATATAATAATCTGATTTCCTGGTCAATTGGGAATACTATGATTTTAAAACTAAGAATTGACCATTCTGTTGGGTGTTCTGCCCTCCATTTAAATGTCTTTCTCTATGCCCAGTTACTGAGTGATGTTGTACATAACCAGATTCTGTAACCTGATATTGAACAAAAGCCTTCAAGACATGGCAAAAATCAATCCTACTGATTTACATTTTTTCCTGTACCTACTTCCTAAAGCTATGATTTTATTTTTCCGCATTGTACGTTATGATACAAAGGGCAACTGATGAAAAATGATGTATTTAGCTTGAAGCCATCCTTTGCAATCTCCCTGTATATGATATTGCCTTTAGAACAGAACCCATTATCTTGTTATTCTTCCATAATTTATTGCTTGGATTTCTAAAGTGAACATAGATTGAATGTATGTATGTACATAAGGAAAATTGAATGTTAGCTTTGCATGTATTGTCAAGTTCTGATACACGGACAAGTTTGTAGCACTATAAATATGGTACAAAATGTAATTCCCATGTTATGTATTGTTTTCGTAATAGGGTTTCGGAGTGGGGGGATTCGGATACCATCAGATGCCAGTGAACCAGCCTATGACAGAAGCAGAGATGAACATAAGCACCAACACCAGTAGTACCAACTTGAAGGACAAGCGCTCTCGCATCTTTATTGGTAATCTGAACACCTTCAGGGTAAGATTGAGCTTTTGCTATTATTGTATAATTTGGCTGGCTCTGCAAAATGTTGGTGTACAGTTTGTGCAGGTAAATTGGTACACATGATGTATTAACAGATTTGTATTTTACTATAATTGTACTGCCTTATTTTGCTTTTGTCTTGTTTTGGTTTAATGTTCCAACCTATACTGTCCCAGATTTCATGCACTATACTTAGTACAGTAACAGTCCAATTACTTGTACTCCAACCAACATCTTCACTCTAGTCTAGGGGTCTATTTCATCCATGTGAGTACGGTGCTACCAGATTTGCTCACTGAAGTACCCGTAGAGTGATGTACGTTAACACTGGCTTCCTCTCTAGGTGACCAAAGCTGATGTAGAGGAAATCTTCTCTTATTACGGCTACATCAAGGGCTGCTCCGTCCACAAGGGCTATGCCTTTGTCCAGTACACCAATGAGGCTGATGCAAGGGCAGCAGCAACCAGTGAAGATGGCCGTATGTTGGCTGGGCAGGTTCTAGGTGTGTAATCTACCATTTTCTCATGCTGTACATATGTACATCACTAAACTTAATAAAAGAAAAGTTCTGCACATCGCCGGTCGCAGGTGGGTATTTCAAGCCCTGGAAGAGGTATAGAAAAGTTCCAAAAAGTTATTTGGAATGCATGTAGTGTATTAGGCCTTCTTTGTATTTGATTTTCTTCCAGGCATACATTTTTCATTACATTCTATGAAAGCCATTAATGGACCTTAAAAAGCTGTCATCCAAAAGCTATCATGCAGCCAGCAGCCAGTCTTTTCCCCAGTAGTTAATAAGTACCTTACAACAGTCTAATTCATGAACAAGTGTCTCTCGTGTAATCCTCCCTAATGGACTGTGCATCATAGAAACCTGGGTCTGTGGACTGTCACTAAGCTGACTTGCCTCGGCCCACTGGGTATACTTTAAACTTATCCTTTTCCAAATAAGGGACATACAGCTATACATGTAGTAGTATGACACGCTGTAGAAATCAAAGTTAATTTTTCTGGTATTATCAAACTACATAGCACGTCTATGATTTTGAGGGGAAACAAGAAGCAGGAATTTTTTTTTCTTGGCAGACCTTGACTTAAAGATTAAGGCCATAAATTTAAAGAAAAGGAAACATTTTTCTTAATAGGGAGAAGGTCTTTTAGTTAATGTTAAAACTACGAGAGGCAGTGAACAAAGAAATAGCTTGATGTGGCCCCTGCTTCCCTTGTACATATCAGCTATTGTGTCAGTCCCAACATAAATACGTCTCCATCATTATTTTACGATAATGCCAGTGATTGTGACACTATCTAGACCTGCACACACTTTTGCTGCTGGTTAGATGAGATTTGGTCGTCCTCAAATTGTCCTTGGTGGGCGAACGTTGTACATTAGTGGTTTTGATTAAATACCACAGATGAGAAGATTACAGAAAGGGGAAGAGTCATAGCCCTCTGGGTATGTATAGTGTTAGTTATGACGCTGTATGTGAGCTTAAATATCTATTGTGGGTTTGAAGGGGTTAGACAATTGAATTATGTTTTGCATCAGATACATAACTGGGTAAAAAAAGTAATACATACACAGAGTACAGTAAGTGATGGTATTAGTAAATACCAATTCTGCCAACTTTCTATTAAACGCTACATCTCTCCATTACAGCTAAAGGCTTTTAAAGTGGCAGCCTAGCTGTTATGCTGCTTATGCAGCTCTTTTGATAATGCCTGACCTTTCACTGTCTGTAACACGTTAAAACGAGTTAGAGATAGCATTATTCTAAGCCCTGTGCATGCTCTTCATGCATCATTTAGGTAGATTCGAGGACAAAGCACCGCTGGCACACTGAGCCTGCTTTACTCAGAACTGAGTGTGCTCCCAGCAGCCTCTCATGGGACTACCTGCAAAATGGCACAGTTCATTTTCAGAGTTACATTTTAAGGGTATCCTTTCAAGTGGAGCTTTATTCAATCTTCCGACAGGATGCTCAGGTTGAAACAATTTTGCTATCATTTTCACACACTTGCAATTCACTGCTTGTCACCATGCTATAGCAAAGATAAGAGGCTAGAAAGCTGACCTTGCCTTCCCTAGGGAAAATTAACCTTTTGAAGTGGGAGTAAAGATGTATGAAACACCTGAGCAGTCTAGAGTCTGCACTTCCAGGAGATGTAATTACTCCTGAATTCTGAAACCCCAAGGTGTTACACATGGCTACAGGGATGCTATTTGCTCAGCATGGTACCTTTCTAGTGGGAAAGTTAAGCAAATTTAAAGTGTTCCTTTGCAAGCTGAAATCTACAGATATTTCTTTGCCAAATATCTATAATGCCCATGAAGAAAGTTCTCACTGCAAGGTTTCAGTTTCTAGTGTTATATGGGACTTATGTGCTGCACACGTTAGACATTGGTGGGATCTAGCATTCATTCCTTACATCTGTAACATGCTATGGACAGCTTTTCCCATTTGAATCCCCCATCACTGAAGTGTGAAGAAAACTGCCAGAAGTCAGTATTGTTCAACAAGTGCAATTTACCCAGCTGAATGATTGAGATTTCGAGAAGATTTGGCAGAAGACTATCTGGAGCAGCATCGTCCTTTCATTCGCTCTCCAGGATCTTGTCATCAGTGTTATCTAGACAGTGGGTTTGAAAGGACGTGAGCAGAAAGCAAAACTCAAAACTAACCATTATTCCCGGGAAGTATCAGCTGCCAGATTGAACTACAGGTCAAGGTAGAGCAGAGACCATCAATCTCAAATTTAAGTACACCCTTGACTCCACAGCTACCTTGTCTCCTGAGAAGAACTTGTACATGTACATACTTAAGTTAAGTAGAACGAAGAAGGAAAATGCTGTCTTCTGTCTGGATGTTAAGTGGATTTGCCGCAAGCAGCAGACATGGAAACTGTGTAAGAATTACTAAAAAGCCATTAGCCTTTACTATGGTAATTGGTATGCTGTTCAAGAGGACAAGCATGTAGGATGGTTTTGTGTGGACGCGAGGGACTCAATAAAGATCCTTCTTTGATTAGTTTCTCCAGGCAACTATTAATGTTTGAGCTTGTTCTGTGGCATATGGCACATACAACATGTATAAGTGTGCGACAGGCTATAAGACTGAATTATACCCTGGGGTGAAGTAATGGAGCTTATGCAAACTTCTGTAGTGCCTAGTCTTGATATGGCAAAAGAGTTGTAATAAAATCATATATCATGCTGAATTTCTGTAATCAGCAGTAAAAGACACAAAAGGATGTCAAGACAGTAATCAAAACAAAGAGATTGAAATAAACAGTAGGGCCAGTGTTTTAAAAAAGTGAACTTCACCAGTATCCAGTTCAATATAATCAGAAAAGCAATAGCTCTTTGACATTTGAAAATCAGTACATCTGTTCAATGTCATGTTTTGCTTGAGTATCATTATTGTACATCTTTGTGACCTTTCCTTGATATTGTTTTGTAGATGTGAACATTGCCTCGGAGCCAAAACCTAACCAGAAGCCACCTGGCCAAGGGCCCACAAAGAGAGGAGCTCCATCCACCAACTGGTAAGCTTCAATATGCATACTATGTAACATATCTATATCATGCATGTTTTTTTTTCATATTTTGCACTAGAGGTTACACAAATTTTATGACCTTGTTACTCGGGAATTGCCACCACGAAGTGTTGGATTTTTTGGCATAAAACTAGGACATTAAATCCTCCGTGCTTTTAATTATTAGCACCACATGGTGATAAGACTCACTGTTATATGACACATAGCTTCCTTTTACCAATAGGGGCAGTGGTGTTGGGATGGACTTCCAGAGTGATCCAAACTACACCGGGTGAGTTAGAAGTCCATTTGCATTTGCTTCCTTGACACTTTTTGTAGCAACCTGAAGGGGAAAGAAGTCATTAGGGAGCTCTTATATCCTTCCAAAGACCTTCATGCTTGATAAGAAAGCTTGGAGATTTTAAGTTCAACGATTCAAACTTTCTCAAAATATCATAAACATCGTGTTACAAGTAAAGAGCACAGGGAAATCATAATGCCTTCTTTCCTCCAACCTTTACCTCTGGTACCAAACATGGATTGCAGCTTGAAGAAGTTCCTAAGTGTCTGTCATTGAATTGTGCGCCTAATAACATTTCTGTGTAAAATGTTCAAAACAGAAAATAGAAATGAGATTTTAGTGCTTTTATTATGTGGTAGATTACAAGCAAACATGAAACACATTTCCAGTTCAGGTGAAACACTCAGTTCTATTTGATGTATTGATGGTAATTTTCTTAATTAAAAAAATTCCAGTAGTGGATATTGCCAGCATGTACTTGTAGGGATGGGAGTTGGAAATATGACATAGAAAGCTGTCTTTGAATGCTGGGTGATATTGCAAAACTTGTCATTGTGGCACCTATGGTACTGCTTGGGGCAGATCTGAGGAATATTGCATTTTCTGTTACATCAATATATCAAACAAAACGATATGTTTTCTCTTTGTTTGAGATGTGTTTGATGTTTTGCTTGTCATGTATCACATCATAAATGTATTGAAATTGCATTTCTATACCTGCATTTTGCAGTGGAACATAGCACCATAATGATAATATATTTCTTGAAAGGTTTTTTAAGGTTTGTCTATGCTACGTGGGACTTTTCCTTGCTATGTTGTACATCCCAGTGAATGCTTGAATAACTATTATGACATACAACTTAGGGCTTTGAATACATTTTTCTGCACATCTCCAAGTTAACCTGCACTATTAAACCCACATATGCAGGTGAAACTGTATGCTATTTCAAGCTCTGCAGCTCAATATTGTATTTGTAAGCTTAACCCATCTTTTTTGAGACATCCATCATTTTGATATTGAAAGGTTAACATTGATGTCCAGCTGCAAGGTATACAGGACCATATTAGCCAAAAGCACTGCCATTACTGACATTTGTGGAATAATCACACTGCACTGAAAGTTTGAAAAGAAATGCATGATTGTTTTAGGCCACACCAATTTAATTTGTTGGTTCTCGGATTTTTTCAGAAAAAATATGAAGCGACAGGGCGAAAAAAAATAAAAATAAAAACAGGTCTAGGCATCCCATTATAGGCTTAAATGCTACGGAATGAGCCATGAAGTCTACACAAAAGGCTGGGTTAAAATTCAAACATTGAATTTTGAACTTTTAATCAAACCACTGCAATGATAGATGGGAAAACTGTAACAACTAGGAAGAAAAGGACTTTCCTCAACTGTTGGGGGCAAAATATGAGCATTTTTCAGTTGATTCAGGACCAGAATCAAATTTAAATTTTTTTGCAAATCAGAAAGAAACGAAGAGGCGAATCCGAGAACCAACAAATTAAATTGGTGTGGCCTAAAGCTGTTTTTCTTCCTTCCTAGAAGCCTGACAATCCCCAAGGCCGGTGGTGTGACAGTGATGATGAGACCAG